ACCCCCCATTCTTCACACAGGAAACGTTCAGGTAATAACCAGGTTCTCCGATGGGAATAGATTTAAGATCATCTTCAAGCCCTGACTTGTTGTCTGTTTACACCACGAACCCCCTGCGCTCACCTCCCAACCTGCCCCATTCTTCGACGGGAAGTTTGGCAGCAGCCGGCACGCAGCTCCCGTTCGTACCCTTGGCTCTGCACAGAGACAACGTGGAAGGAGAAATGAGTCGTTTGTGAACAGCTTTGTGGGAGGGTGTTACTTAGCAAATAAGCAGGATGACACCGACAGCTCTTGTGTGGGCTGCAGGGTGTGAGATGGGGATAAGCAAGCAGCTCACGTGGCTTTGGGACAGGTCGGGGTGTTGCTAGTTAGGTGCTAGAGAGACCCTAATTCCACATGCAGATGCTTACAGTAATTTGGTGTTTCTTTTACGAGTTGTTACAAAGCGCTGCGGATTGACAATGCAATGTGGCCATTTTGTTGGTTCCCTTTTAAATGGCTTCCTTCCTCCCAAGGCTTACTAAATTAAAGCATTTCGTGGTACTGGTTGATGAGAAATGCCTGTAACTTCTCCCTAAGCTGAGTTTCCATTTGCTGTAGCCAGGCATCCTTGCTGCTGGGTAGGGAGTGAAGCACAAGAGATATCAGCAGAGCCAGAGCAGATGAGGAGAAAAGTAGTAGGACTTGTCAGAAAACCTCCTCTCTCAGTATATAGCATTTTTATAATCACCGTTGTCCTCCAACCATGAAAACTGAATTCAGCTTCCATCAAGGCTTTTCTTAATGCTGCTTTAGAGTGTCCTGCCTGTGTCTCTTCTGCCCTGGTTCTTGCCTGGCAGCTGGGAATGCTTCTGCAACCAGCTCCGCGGGCCGCCTCTTCATCTGCGCTGTGGCATAACTTGGATGCAACCCTTAGCCCTGAATTCAGCTCCTGATCGTAAATTAAGATAACATGCAGTCCTTCGCATGACTGGTTTTCTTGTCAGGCTTGCATTATGGTTTCTGCTGTGGTAAGTAGTGTTGTTTATAGTAGAAAGCCTTCTCTGCAGGCATGAAAGTGTTGTGTTAGGAAGTATTTTATTAGATAAACAAGCAAACTTGCATTGATTTGGGGAGGTGGAGAAGTGAGGATGTTGCAGTGTGGCAGCTTAGGATCCTGCCTCTCCAGTGCTTTGACAGTACATAGGACAGGGCTTTTTTCCTGTTAAGACTCTTCCAGAGATAGGAGTTTCATCTCCTTTTCTCCACTGGAAGTGAACTCAGGGCAATGGTGCCTTGTTTGCAGAGTCCTGGACCCATGTATGAATCTTACTGCCAGTCCTGTATATGGCCAAGAGTGCCTTTGATGCTGTAGGAGCCTACATTTGAGTTATATCCAGTTTAAATTCTTCTTTATCTGGCTTTGTACACGTACTTGCCGGCCACAGGAAAAAAAGGAGCTCCATCTCTGAACGTGTCGAAGGTGCTCCAGCTGCTTTCCCTTGGCTGTTTACTTTGACAGAGCTGAGCGGCCGCCCCGCTCACGAGCCCCTGCTGCTGCACACTTACTCCACGTGGAATTCTTCATCCTCCAGGTCTGAAATGTGCCAGCAGCGCTGTTCTGTGCTACGGTTTTTAAAGCACGCAAAAACGCAGTTACAGGGTTGAGGTTTGTGCTTCTTTGCATGCTTATGATGCATTATTTTGCTGCCAGTGAAAATAACATTTAAAAATAAATAAGGATTCAAATATCCACTAGCTTCGTTGTATGTGTGCTACTAAAGAGCAGTGTAGGCTACAAATGGATTCTGGCACTGGATGTATTTATGTAGATACCTTGTCAGAAACTAAAATATCACCTGCCTTCACACAGTGAGGTGAATCTTGAACAGCAGACTCGGAGGCAGAAAGTTCGTGCGGACACTCCGTCTGCGGCTGTGATAATATCACCATAGGCTGGGACTTCAAAAGGTTAAAAAAATGCAGATCTCAGCCGTGGTGCACATCTGGTTCAGAGCAACAGAAAAAGCCTTTCAAGTTTTGCTAGGAAGTTCGGTGTGGCCTACTGCTCTGTACCTGGGTCTATTTTGAGCTGTCGGTGACTCGCGCTGACTTTCCATGATGGATGTGAGGGGGTGGGTTGCAAATAACACCTCTGACGATCTTTGTGTTCACACCTCTCTAAATGGGGCAGTGCTCCTGCTCTTCCTCAGGGGAGGCAGGGAAAGGGGGTCAGTCCCTTGTGTCCCGTGCAGGATCCTTAGGAAGCAAATGGGGAAGATAACGGCAGCCCGTTGCATTGCTGCTTGCTACATGGATTGCGTGGATTACAGGTTAGGATTTTATGTTGCATATTTGATTGTTATGGATCCCAGTTTCACTAGAGTAGTGGAAAATACGCTCATTTAACTTCGAGAGACATGTGACGTTTTTCTGTTTTAAGCTATTTTGAAACTGTGGCTTTGCACTGGTGTATCAACTCCTGACCAAACAGGATATCTTCTGTGGGTGCCAACTGCTCTTCGCTCTGTTTGCAATGTGCAGCAGCATATAGCATTGCTGTGAGTGTTTGTGGCAGAGCTGCATAACCCAGCAAAGGGCTACCCGGGTACGCTTGCTTTGTGCCCTGCGTTGGCTGAGGGCAAGTGGCAGAGGATGCTGCGACTACTGAAACGTGGGGAGGAGGTGCACAGTGGGGTACAAGAGGCGACAGAAAAGTTTTCTGCATGGTGCCAGAGAGGAGGGGTTGCCAAAAATACATGTCTTGCCGCGACCAGGAGTACAGTGTGCTGTTTCTGTTGCTGCACGGTGTAATACCCTTTCTACTCAGGCCCCTGAAAATCCTGACCTTGAACGTGTGCTTAATTTGGACCGTGTCAGTAATCTCAGAGCTGGTCAATGGAATATAAAATGAATTTTTCACACCAGTGAGGCATAGATCCAAGCTGCAAACTCCTCGTGGCACCAGTACAGTAACTTGCAGATTTTCCAGTGCTGGCCTAGAAACAGCATAAGCACATGCAGCAACAGCCAAGCTAATAACACCCTACTTCTCAGCAGTGGTTCAGCTGCGGCGTCTATTATCCCTGTCATGTGAATGCAGATTTCTATGCAGAGATGATTTCCAGACCTTGAGCAGAGCCAGCTTGGGTGTGTTCGTATCACCACCCTTATTTGCTTTCCCTTATGTTCATGTGCCCAAAGCCAGCACGGGTGTCAGCATCTGCGGTGAGAACATCTTTTAAGTTTCCACTGACTTTATTGGACCGGGAATGGTGTTGAAACAAATGATCAGCAGCCTGAGATGGGAGGTCCTGATGCGCTCACTGTTTCAGCGGGGTGGGGAGCAGCAAGGAATGCTGATGCCTGGGGCTGGGCAAAGGGTATTAAGCTTGTTGCCCTCCTCCCAGCCATCTGATAGGGAAGGAGTGGGCAAAATGCCAAGGGAATTGTCTGCAGTTTAAAAAAAATTGGGCTCAACCACAAGCGATCATCTCAACGCTGGAATTGCGGAGCAGAAAAACATCAGAGCAGAGGATCAGCATGGGCTTGAAGCCTGAGCCTGGTGGCTGTGCTGTCAGCTGGGAGGGTGGGTGGCGAGGGGGGCTGAGCCCACGGGTAGCAGCTCGGCGGGGAGGAGAGCCTGCCCCCAGCCATGGGATGGCCTTCGCCCGGGCCCAGGTGGCTGCTGGTGGAGAGGATGAGGTGACATCTGGTGAAGTGGGTGGAGGCGTGTGGAAGCAGCGGCTTTGTTTCTGGGATGGTCACTGGCTCTTCGAGGAATCTTGTGTTTCCTGGCTCTGTAATGGAGGCTGTGGGAGATGGTTCGCATTTGTTTTCCTTTGGGAACATAGTTGCCAGGCAATTATTTTACACCCTGTAGCACCGCAGACATGTCTCTTCAAGTCTGATCTCTTACCACATAACTGAGAAAATGTATTTTACATTAAAAAGAAGCCTTTTAAAAAGGCCCTTCAGGCATGAAGTCAATGTGTTTTCTATATATAACCCTGTATTATTAATACAATGAACTTATCTGTAGACTCTGTGGGTGAATATGACTTGATCATTGGAGATACGAACAATATGATATTCATTTTCAATGCACTGTCTCTCTGACTCCACAATGGTGCCCCCAGCCTTCAGTTCATTTCTTAGTGATAAAGTGGGGCAATAGCGTGAAGCGGGTTTGTGGATTGCATTTTCGCTGAGCGTTAATATAAAATAAACAGTCTATAGAGAGAACAAATTTACCTTGGTTCAGAAAAGCCAAGACCTATAGATTTGGGACAGACAGGAATGATGAATGTGAGCATGTATTATTGAAATAAGTCCAGAATGGCATGGCAGAAGCTTCCCTGGATTTAGTTACAGGGGTTGCAATATAAGGTGCTTTGGCTGGAAAATTTCAAGATGGTGATTGATTTATTTTCTTTTTTTTTGATGTGGGTCATTTATCCCTGTGTGCATTACGTGAGATAATTTTCCCTTTTCAATCATTGAAGAGTGTTTTAGGGTGGACTTAGGAGGCCTCTTTAGCCCAGGTCCTTTTGAGGTTGCTCTTAGAAATCACCAAACGAGTGTGTGCAGACTTCTATGGCTCTGTAAGAAGAGGAGATAGTGCAAGCATGGTACAAGTTGTAATTACTTCTTGTTATTGTGTGTTAGGCAGTGTGTTCACAGAAAGGCAGAAGGCTGAGTTACATGATCTTTCTAGATCCCGAGCCTGCTTTCTGCGTGAGCAAGGTGTGCAGATGCCCAACCTGATTTAGTTTACGGTGGTCCAGCTGACTGATCTGGTGTAGACTTAGTCTGGAGGAGCATGAACTTGTGGAGTAACACTAGCCGCACGATCCTGCTGATGTCTCTAATGCCATAGCTAAATTAGTGGAGCTGCTTTTAAAAACCGGGTGGGAGATGTCTGGAGTGGGTGAAATGGGAATCCCGCTGGAGACAGAGGATGCAGTTAGAGACAGAAAGGCAGGTCCTACCAAAGGGGGTGGTGGAGGCCTTGAGACATGGAAAAAGGCAACGAGGCTGGCACGATTGAGGGCTGTGTACAGCTAAAGTTCTTTGCTGGTCAGAGCCTCAGTGACCTGCTAAGGACTGATCTGCAGGACAGACATGAGGACGTAAGACTAGCAGGCAAGGTACAGCCGTCTTTAGCACAGGCGCATACCCGTACAAAGCTGTAGCTTCAGTGCTGTTCCCAACATCGTGGGCACTGGCGCTTGCCACGGTTACAACACTGTCTCTACCTCTGTCCTCTCCTGCCTTCTCTGGACTTGTCTGGTCCAGTGGGTGGTTTCACACCGCTAACTTTCTGGCGTCAAACCTCATGTCTCATGTATCTCGTCTGCATGAATTTTACTGGATGTTGTAATAGCTTCCTTGTAACTGTTTTCATCTTAGGTTAGAAGCTTTTTTAACTGAATATCCTTTTTAATCTATTCTTTCCAGCCCTGGCAAAACAGCTGTGTAAATTGACAGGAGCCAGGAAATAGCAGCTTCACAGCTAATAACGCGGGCTCCTGGTGTTTCCCGCTGTGTTTTAGCAGGAGGTTGTCCATCTGAAGCCACTGTGCTGCCGCACCACTCCATTCCCCGCGTCCCTGCTGTTAAACCAACGTCCACGTGGGCTGCACTCCTGAATGCTCAACCTGGTCTCGGCACACAGGAACCCTTTATAATCCTTGCAGCCTTTGCACGTGACATCAGTATTTTACAGGGACCAGTCGTGTCTTTTGCAACATTTTATGTAACTCTCGATAAATAAAGCTAGTGTCTAGAAGTGGCGATGGCTTATCTGCTGGGGAGCAGGCTTGTGAAAGGAAGTATGGGCAGTACAGTGCGCTTTTATCTAACAGTTACAAGGGCAACGGGAGCATCCCACCTGCAAACTGCAAGTATTCAGTCAGGTCACACCTTATAGGAGAAGCCCCATAAAGGTGGGGACAATGATTCTAGCCATGGGCAGAGGTTTGTTTTGAATAAATGCAGGTAACATCTCTGCTGTGTTAATGCCGATTTTGTAGTCGGCCTGTGTATTTAAGGTCACAGCCAATGTCAAAGCAAGAATTTGGGCTGTGTTGTCTGGTCTGCAGCCACCCTGGATGTAATGCAGTTGTGTTCCTGGTGTTCTCTGGCTAAAAATCTGCATGTTGACAGTTTATTTCCCAGCCCTATTTTTATTTTGGGATGTCATTCCCCCCCCCCCATGTCTGTCAGTGTTTTGGAGGCTACTCTGCTGATGCTGGTCTCAGCACTTTGTACTGGGTTGCTGTTTTCCTCTGGATGCTCGAGGCCGATGTGATGGTTTTGTTCTTTCACCATGCCCCCCTGCACCCCATACTCTACTTAATAAAGGCAGAGCTGGTAGCACTGGGTGGCAGTGCTACAGCCAGAAGCATTAAGCTGGGAAATGCAGTGTGGTCCGGCCAGAGGAATAAGGAGAACTCCTGCCAGCTTTTATCACGAGGATTGGAGTTTGCTTTGTGTCGTCCACCTCCTTTTGTTTCAGTCTCTTCACCAAAGCAAAGCAAGAAACCGTTAGGGGATAGTGAGACTCTGTTGTATTATTGTGAGTGGTTTAGCTTTTGTAAAAAGGAAAGGAACGCCTCAAGTCCCACTGAAATAAGAGCAGAATGAGAATTGGGACTTCTGGTTTTAGTTCCCAGGTTTGTCACCAATTTACTGTCCTTGTCATTGTAAATTGCACTTAGAAATGGTGCAGTTTTTTATCTGAAATCCAGCTGTCCAAAATCTGACCCTTGTAAGGTGTGGCACTCAAGTGTTTCTAAGTACCGTCCTGCTTTCTAGGCACTTGTATATATGTACGGTAAAAGCCTAAAATTTGGCAGCCAGGTCGAAATGTGGGGGAGACTTCCAAAGCTAGTTAATACCAGTTGGCCTTGGGAAATCACTTCTGTTGGCTTTCAGTCTTCCAGCCTCAATTATTCCATCACAAATTAATTTTGTTGACTGTACTTGTCTCATTAATATTTGGCTCTCTATGCCTCAGTTTACACAGCTGTAATGAGTAATTATGAGTTTCCTATCTAGGTACAGCTCAGAAATGAGCACCATAGACATGATTATGCATGCTCAGGGTTATATACTCATCTTGGAGAGATTCCCCATGCTGCCAGCATTGGGGTTCATGGGACCTCAACTATAGCAGAGTTCCTCTAGGGACGTGCTGGAGGTGGTAGCATGAAGGAGGGCTTTCATAGCAGGGGCATTGCATCACTTAGAGTTCGGTGTTTGCTGTGTGGTGTTGAAGTCTGGAGTCCGACCAGTCTGACTGCACCAGCCCTGTTAGATCACACCTTGCAATAAAACCAGTCCTGTGTTGTGAATGATAAATGTAGCTCTGTCGCATGAGTGCCTGGTGGGGCTGCCTGGGGCAATGGGATGTTGTCCGTATCCCTCCACCTTGGTGTGCCTTGCTTTGAAAATACCAACATAGTATTTTCTAGCAGTGTCTGTCCCCATCTGCTCAGCTCTGTCCCACGAAGGGCTGGGAACAGCAATGTCGCTGTTAGATGTGTGCTCAAGCACTGCTCGCTGAGCAGCGTGGCCAAGGTCCCTGGAGCAGGGACAGACCGTGCTGTGCCCTTGCACAAGAGGACATCGTTTCCCCTGGTGAATTACAGAGCCATTTCATCCCAACGGGTACCCGTACCCGGTGTTTCAAATGAAATGGCAATCTTCTCTCCCTGCAACACACACATCTTCACTTGGCTTTGACGTGGGGAAGAATTATTGCTATTGCATTGCCTTCAGTCATAGGGTTTGATTTTTAGGGTTTTTCTGGTTTGCCTTGCTTGGTTCTTGCCTCTTTAGTGGGGGAGGATTACAGTGGTAGTATAAAATTATAACTGCCTGTATGGGATGAAGGCTGAATTTTCAGAAATCATTAAAACAGCCCAGTTTTGGAGATCTGACTTGAACACTTATCGGGGTCAGGTTTGGGAGCTTTTGCTTATGCAAAGCAGCAGAAGTGGGTTGTTTCCATTTTTCCGTTTTGTTGCCGATAGGGCTGTCTTTGTCCAACTGTGCCCTGGTGTACCCTAACGGAGGCTAACTGCCTCCGGAGAAGGGCTGCTGTCAGAATACTTTAAAGTCGGTCAGACTCGCTCCTGCTTCGTGAGGTTTATCAGCAAAGATTTTCAGTGCCTCCAGTGGGAGGCTATTTTTATTCTGTTCTGGGGGCTATCTTCTGCTCTGAGGTCTCTATCACTTTTTTTTTTTTAATAGAGAAACCTGCCTGTTTTAGGACAACCTTAAATATCTTCATCTTTTGCAATCTGAAAAACAAGATAGTCTTTTATCCAAGGTAAAAGTTTTTGGCATTTCTGTGACATGTTCAAGATTTCTTTTGTTATTTTTTTCCTGTATAAGGGGGACATTGCTGTAGACATGAGAATGCACTGAGTTGTCTCCCTTGAGCAGGGATGACAGCAAGTGAGGTGTCTAATGTTTCATCTTCATACTCTGATCAGTGCTATGACTGTTGCTGAAAACTCACATTGTGTTTCATTGCAGCATGTAACCAAGGCTGGAAGAGCTCTCGAGATGATCTGGTTCATCTTCCTGCCCTATGGCAAGATCAGTCATACCTGTGTCTTCCTTGACAGATGCTGGTCTATGCTCTTTTGAAGACCTCTGCAGCCTCTCCAGGCAGCATATTTCAGTGCTTCACCATCCTTACCAGTAAAAGTCTGGTTTCTCCCCACCTTGTATTTAACCTGAGTCATCTCTGCTGCAGTTTAAACCTGTCACTTCTCATCCTGCCCATTTTGAATACAAAGAACAGGTCATTTTTTTTGCAGCAATGTTAAATATTTGAAGACTATTTATGTGCTTCTCTTCTTAGTGTTAAATAACCACTATTTGTTAAATCTTCCCTTCTTTGTGGTGGATTTAAGTCTTCTGTGTAAACCTTAATTGGCCTGTCTTCTCAAAAATATTCTGTAAGTGACAATCCCAGTCATTAACTAACCCACAAACAGTTTAAACCCTTTGATCAGCATTTTATTTATATACTTTAATAGAAGCCTTCTATGCCGGCCAAATTGCCTGTTTGTGCACCACTGTCTCTGATTGACTTGATGGCCTTGTGCTGGTGTGCGAGCCAAGTATCCACAAGGTTTTCTGCTGCTGGCTAACTGTGATTCGTTCCAAGAGAAAGATTGGGTGCCCGGCATGACGTGAGGCTTGGCGTGGTTTGTGCCTTAGATCTGCGGGACAGTGTTTGCAACGTGAAGGCTGTGCGTTCAAATGGAAAGGGAGCTCAGAGAGGCTAACCAAGCATCGAGTCATGGGTCTCTGCAGGCACCCAAAATATACGTTGATGTATGCAGGAATTTGGAAGTGAACATGTGCTCAGACAGGTGGTAGGCTGTGAAATGTTACTTGGTATTAGGACCTTCTGATGTGGCTGTATTTGAATAGTCAGTTCATGCTTGGAGGTCAACTACTACTATACTGTGATTTGGATATCCTTGATGTGCATGTGTTTGGCTCCAAGGGAAAGTCAAGGAAACTTATGCTTTAGCAGTACATACGGGGAGGACAGAAGGCAGGTCATATTCCCTTTCAGTAATTTTCTCTGGATTTCTCTGTTGTAGGTGAGTGTTTTAACTACCTTGGAGCGGCGATTCAACCTTCAGAGTGCTGACGTGGGTGTCATTGCCAGCAGCTTCGAGATTGGCAACCTGGCCCTCATCCTCTTCGTGAGCTACTTTGGAGCCCGAGGACACCGGCCACGCTTGATAGGATGTGGAGGGATAGTCATGGCCTTGGGTGCCCTCCTTTCCGCGTTGCCTGAATTTCTGACCCACCAGTATGAATATGAATCAGGAGAAATACGCTGGGGGGCTGAAGGGAGGGATGTGTGTGCTGCCAACGGGTCCACCAGTGATGAGGGACCAGACCCGGACCTTATCTGCAGGAATAGGACTGCTACCAACATGATGTACTTGCTGCTCATTGGAGCACAGGTCCTCCTGGGCATTGGTGCTACCCCTGTCCAGCCCCTGGGAGTTTCCTACATTGATGACCACGTGAGGCGGAAAGATTCCTCCCTGTACATAGGTAAGGCTCTCTGAACTTTTCACTGAAGGCTTTCCTTGTGGGCTGGCATCTTGCTCCTGTTTTCTGTTTGATGCCAGTGGAAGGGATGCCTTGAGGCCTCTTCTTCATGTGCTGCTGTGCTTGTGAAGGTAACTTGGCATGGGTCCCTACACCAAGCAGTTGTAAGCAGCAGGGAAACACAGTGATATTTGCTTGTATTGTAGTGATGGTAAAGGTTGACAGTCATGGTGATTATTACTGGATGATTAAGAAGATTTAAGAAGATGCTCACTTCCTCTATTGTGTTTGCCCAGATTGCTTTAAATTCTGATATTGGTGGCTTGTGGTTGAGTTTTAGCTGAAGAATTTCTAAGTAGCATATATGATGATTCCCCCCCCCCCAGATTCCCTAGTTCCCTTCCTGTTCTGAAGCATTTGTCTGTGTTTGAGTGATTGTTGCCGTATAAGGAGACTGAGAGGAGATGCGTGTCCTGTCACCACTGCCATCTCGTTTTAGCAAGGAAGTGCCTGTTAAGGAGTAGGTGACCCAGCGTGCTGCGGCAGGACCCCAGATAATGTGATCCCTGTAACGGAATGGGATGTGGAAGCTGGTGAGCTCTATTTTGAGATATGGTGAGCCTGAAGTAGAACTCATGATTCTGGTGATCATGTTGCAGACTTCTTCCAGATGGTTAAGATATGAAATTTGGCTTCAGTTACCCAATGAAACATCTCTGTTATTGGGGTAAAGTGCTCATGGGTCTCAGCAGTGGTACCTTGTCCAGCAGGATTAAAGAGGATGTAGGGGGTGAAGTTGTTCTCCGAAAAAAGTTACCAGCTTGGCTCATTTTTTTTTTTTTTTTGCAGGACTTGTCACTAGATAAATTGCTCCAATGCAATAAATTGGTGAAGTGTGTGCTGCCATTAATGTGATCCTTTTGTACTTGTTAGTATAGTTTCTAGTAACCAAACTCTGTGCACTTGGCCCATCATCCTTATCTTGACGTGACTTTCAACTGAATGGATGATCCCATTACTGTTTTTTTGTGTTTTTGTTTGTTTGTGGGGTTTTTTGTTTGGTTTGGTTGTTGTTTTTTTTTTTTTAAGACATTTTTATCAAGTTCCTAAGCGTAACTGAATGCAGCTAGGATATGACCACAGACAGTAAAGCTGAACAGTCCTGCTGACTTTGAGTGGTGTTCAATGTCTTGGGATATTCCTGGATGTATTGCTACTTTACTTAAAGAGGTTCTTCTGCATATTCAAGTGTGTCCATGTTTTCCTGTAACTGGCTGTAAAATCATAGTATCTCAGCATTTAGCTTTGTCCTTGGATCATTATTCACCTTCACCTGGTTCTGTGAGTGCTCGTGAGGGATCCACTGGGTAAAGCAGGGTGATATACAAAATACAAGATACTGTACAACCTGAAGGTGAATAATGAGACTAAATTCACTGGAGCAACTTTGCCAACACTATAAATGATGTGCTGGAATTAAGAGTGATTCGAAGATTATCTATTATAAATAACTATACAGAGAAGCAGCAACTTCTTTCAGTCTGTTCCATGGGCAATTTTTAAGCAATGCTTCATGTCTGAGAGCAGGATTGAGGAGGGTGCATGAGAGGAGGATTAGGAGAGTGATTCTTTTTGCTCCTGCGATACATTCATCTTGTATGCTAAAATAACTTCTTTAAAGTTGGCAGTTCAACTGTAGCTGGGAAAATACTGCCAGAAAATGGTTTCTGCTTACTATATGCTGTTTCATTATTTTTCCTTCAGACATATGCTTCTAACCCTGTTCCTCTCTACATGTAGAGTTTAAAAAAAAACCCCAAGTATTTTGGGGTTGTTTGCTTTACTGGCTTTAGCTATGAAAATCATAATCTGAACTTCTACATATGAATTATGGGTTGTAGAAAAGTGCATGTGTATGCACACTCAACCAATCAGTCATACCAACAATGAAGTTTAATATCTGCCCTGTCCCAGCCTACCCATCACAAGCAGGTTTTCAGGTATGGGGTGATTAATTCGTACATCAACTTGCAGTCAATTTGGCTAGTAAAAATAAAAGCTAACAGGAAAAAATTACAGGAGAAAAATCTATTCTGTGAATGACTATAAATGGAGAAGAAGCTGGTAGAAATGTACCTGTCTTCTTAGGTTTGTGACTACTTGAGAGGAGGTGAAATTCCTCAGTTTAAAATGTTGAGAATTATTTGCTCAGATTTGTCTTTAACTGATTATTTTTGTTGATGTCATCAAAGCAATTTTCCGTCGCCTTAGCAGAAAGCTGGCTGAGCAGCTTACCCACTTCATTCTCTGTTTCGCAGAGGAAATAACTGCAGAGTGTATACTGTCACTGTGCTATATTTGTATCAGTTTGCTTTCTCATAATAGCACACTCACTCAGTAGGGGCTACACTGTGTGTGACCGGATAAAATGTTTTTGGGTAAGTTCCCTCAGTTTAAATTAGGAGCAAATCTGGCATAGGTTGTTCTCTCAGGATAGAAACTAATTAATAACAGCAGTAATAGTCTGGCCGTACTTTCTATCATGGCTGTTTGCGGCTGAGAAATGATCAGATTGACCAGTCCATGCTGTCTTTAGTATATTGCTAATGTCGAGTATGTATATGCTGCATTCGGGCTGTATTGTTGCTGGGGGGGGAGAAGGAGTCTCTCACCTGACAGCTAAGTACTAGTAATTGTTCACCTGCTGCAATAAAAACCCTCTTGTGTCCCAAGGCAGTGAATTAGATAGAAATAACTCTGTGCACTGAGAGTTTTTTTCCTTCCTTCTGAGTTGTACAAGAGTTCAGTGGAGTAACTTGGTATAATATCTAATACAGTCTCTTTGCAGTGAAATGACAATACAGGAAGACTCCTCTAATTTAAAAAAACCAAAACAAACCCACCCCAAAACCAAATAACACCCCGCCCAACCCCTCTTCTTTTTGTATTAGTACTTGTACGTGAGTGCAGAATAATGCAGATGTGATACCATATGGAATCTAAAGTGAAACTTTGTCTTTAACTGCTAGATCAAGTAACAGTATCTGTGGAATATAATACATTTCTGGCCATGAAGTCCATCAAATCTGGCTCGTTGTGGTTTCTCTGCAGTGACAGGCACACAGGAGGTGGTGGGCAGTGCACCGCTGATGTGCATCCTTTGAAGACAGGTTCCTCAGGCTTGTGCTCTGCCAAGGAGGTGGGGATTCATAGAATTTTATAATTAGAGAGACACGGGTGAGGTATTACAGGAAGATATCTCTGTGGCATGGGCTGCTGACATGTAGTTTCATGTTTCTTGAGCTAATAGTGGATTTTTTGATGCCTGCAATGTGTTGCTACCAAACTCAAACAGATTCTGTTGCTGTAGTAACCAGCCCTAGGAAAAAGGGCTGTGTTGTGGTAACCGAGGGCAAATCAAATCAAAAAGATGCATGCATGGAAATACGCACCAAAGGATGTTCAAAAGAAAACACATTTGAGCTGTAACAACACATTTGAGCTGTAACACGGTTAGATAGCGGGACCATGCCTGCTCCTGCTAATGATGAGAAATACGTTCTCCTCCCATTTCAGCATCCAACTGCCTGCTCAACACAAAGGTCATAACGTTGCCAATAGCAGCCAAAAGCTGAAATAATAAAGGAATTTTCTTAGCTGTTTGAAGTTGGGAGGAACCTTCTGTCTTGGTGCTGGTTTGCTTGCTTCTCTCTGTTTGGGACTGCTCTTGCATTTAAGATCTGAACTCCCATCTTGAGGTTTCCAAACAAGCGAGTTAATTTTACCTGTGTGTTATTGGCATTTGGCATAAGTAACTCCTGTGAGCGGAGGAATTCCTCACTCCTGCAGACCGTGCAGGGCTCATTACTGCTGCAGCTTCACTAATGTCAAAGGATCTCCTCAATTTGTGGCATCCTTTATTTTAAAGGAGGAAATGTATGTTGAAGACTACTTACTACACAGTTCCTTTCTCCACCCACTAATGACTCACTTGACATTTCCCTCTTTTCTTTAGTTCATTTTCTGCTGGGTCTTGCTGAGTTCTGTTGAAATCAATGAAGACTTTGTCATTAGGAGGGGGATCAGAGGCATCATGGAGCTGATACGGGGAGGGTAAAAAACCTGATCTGACAGTAGTTGTATGGATTTGCTGCCTCTCAGACAAACAACGACTTGCAAGTGTTTTCTGGTCACTGGAGTACCCACATTGCTCTCAGCAGTGGTTTGCGTGCTCAGTTAGAGCCGGTGCAGTGATGTGGTAGATTAACGTTATTAGCTGTCTCCACACGTGCCTTCTGGGCCTTCTGCAGCATTGAACATTTGCTGATGAAAGTTGTTGCATCTTGTCTAGGATGTGGTTACCTATAGAGCAGAATGAATAGCCTCTGAGAGCCAGTATTTGATCTGGGACAATTAAGGGCTGCATTATATAGAGGAAGCTGCTATTATTCTGTCTCCTGTAGATGGAGGAAATTGATATTGATGTTGGAGGGAGCACTGCCAGATTGTGTGGCTCATTCAGAAGAATGCTGTGTCGATCTTTAATGCATCAGAGATTCTCTTTAAGTTTTTTGAAGCTGTCTCAGTGTTTAACTTCATGGACACATAGCCCACATGTTCAGGACCCACCACTTCAGACTCCTCGCTGACTTGCAGAAACTGCTGTAACATGAAGAATGACTTCGAGGAAATCCCAAAAGGGGCAAGTCTTGCGTCAAGGAGTAAGTGATGAGGAATGATGAGTGTGCTCGAGCGTAGCGTGCTCAGGGGCACAGAGCTGTTCTTGGCCTGCCTTGTGGCAGGGCAGAGGAACGGAAAAATAGAAAACTCAGCACTGCTGGATGTGTCTGTAGCTGCTTTCTTCTGTCTCATCTACTAGGCTTCTGTCCAGCCTTTTCTGTGTGTATTTTGGTTTATGATATGGTTGTTCCAGCTGTTACCCTTGGTGTAAGAGGATAAGTCAACAGGATGGTGTTCTCTTTCCCCATCTGCCCAGATGGGGA